GGATTTAGGGGTTCAGGGTTTGGGGGTTGAGTTTAGGGTTTAGGGTTGATGTAGGGACCGTACTTATTAGAATAGGGCTCTGGGCTCCTTGTTAGTAGAGCTTTAACCAGGAACATTCAGGAACACAAAATCTTTTTGGTGGCTTATTTTGGCTTCAAACATTCCAAAGTAGCTTAGGGTTCAGGGTCTGACTCAGGCATGCAGTAAGGCGCAGACATGTTCTGAGCTTCGGCTCTGGTCTTCAGCCAGTGCTCTACGAGCTGTCGGAGCGTAACATAGCGGCCTTTAATAACTTTAATTAGACTAGGGTTGTGGGGCCCCACTATACTATAACTACAATAAGGAGCCCCCAAAAAATAGTATTGGTAGTTATTTAAGCCCCTACGTTAACGTGCATGGAGCCCACAAGATCTGTTGCGCGGCCGTGCGGCAAGAGCCTCCACACTGGTGCCGTGATTCTGCGCGATGGCGGAAACCACATCCCGCCTGCTTCGCAGGGACGTGAGTCTCCAAGGGGTTAATAGTCGCATCTTCCTTCATGACTGCACAGCTTGAGGCTGTTGAGAGGCTGCTTTACGGATTTTTTCCGGAAAGTCGAAAGACTACGTCAACAAGGGTGCAGTGAGCCGACAGGAGCCCAACACTCGAGGTCCTGCAGCGGAAGGCTATTCAATCGCCTTCAATCTTCTTTCGTTCACACCTCTATGACACAGCCCCAAACCAACACCTCAAGACATGGCCCGTGAACCATGCGTTCTGGGTTTCCGGGCACAGCGCAGCCCATGGCAGCCGATCCGCAGACCAGCATCAACCCAATGCCAGGCTCTGTAGGCGATCCGAACCTTTCATGTCTTAGCGCATCTTAGGGTGATTACTGCAGAGTTGCAACCCCAAGCACTTCAAAGAATCAGGGGACTTAGTAAGTAGGGCTATAAGTAAGGTAACCATACTTACTTGTAACCCTACTTAAGGTACGTATCACCCTACTTACCACTTTGTTCAATCCCAGTTGCAGGAGCTGGCCGACTTCCTCGGACTCCACCTTCAGCACGTCCTGAAGTCTCATGGGTAGTTCTCTAAATTAGTGTCCCTTTTTTAGGGTCCATTTTGATAAGGGTGCCGTACTATATTGGGGATCCAAAAAGCGACCCTAATTTAGAGAACTACCCTCATAGCAACCCTAATGGTACTTAGAGGATCACGGGTCACCAGGGTCATAAATACCTTACTTAACCCGGCTTACTAAGTCCCATGATCCTCCAAGCAACCTTTCTGACAACCCCCTCGTACTGTAACTCTAAACCCTAAACCCTTACCATGGTAAGCCTCCTCATCCTATCCCCTCGTAGCCTTACTACCCTGACACTACCCCCATGGAGCAACCCTTATCGCAATCTCGAAACTCATCCCTCTGGTAGCCCTGCTAGCAGCCCTTATGGTTTCCTTTACAAAAACCCTAAACCCTAAACCCTAAACCCTAAACCCCACACCCTAGACCCTAAACCCTAAACCCTAAACCCTAAACCCTAAACCCTAACCCCAAAAACCGGAGTCCTGAACCCAGGGCCTCTGAGCCTTTGCGGCCCCCAGGGGCCGGGACTCCGCCACGGAAAGCCTTTGCAACGCGCCCTGGGCCTCCAGGGCTTCGAGCCGCTCCTCGCAGGTAACTTAAGGGGTGTTTGTGGGGTTTAGGGTTTAGGGAGTTAGAGTTGCAGGCTTTAGGCCTTAGGGAGTTATTTCATAAAGTTTGGGGTCTAGGGTTTAGGGAGTTACTTCATATGGTTTACGGTTTCGGGTCTAGGGTGTTAGAAAAGGGTTTTGGGACGTGTGCAGACGGAAGTCGGAGGCGAGTACAGCTAGAGATGTCTTGTGCATCACTTTCACGTGTAACTTCGCTTTGAGCATCTAACTAGGCTTTGCTATGGTGTCATCAATGCAATGCAACATCGAGTAGGGTTTTGGGACATGTTTCTATGCATAACTATAGTAGGCAACGCCTGGGACCAGTGTGAGCAATCATTCAGGCTTCTTTTTTGTCACGGCTAGGGTTTTGAGGTTGAGGCCTTAGGCCCAGGCCCTCTCCTCGTAGAGCAGGCCGCCAGGGCGCTCTCTGCAGCCCAGGTAAAGGTAGAGCAGCGGCCGAGAGTCCGACACGGAGAGCTGCTCCAGGAGGGCCAGGAAGGGCGCCAGGCCGGCGCCGTTCGCCACGAGAAGCAGCCGGGAGGTCGAGGAAGGCCGGGCCTCCCAGGCGGCCCAAAGCGGCGAAGGTCGCCGGGGACCCAGGCACTCCACCACGTCTCCGGGCCGGAGGCCACAGAGATACGGGGAGCAGACACCCCCAGAGACCTCGCGCACCAAGAGGCGAAGCACCTTCGGCGCAGGGATGGGAGGAGACATGAGGAGACCCTAAACCCTAAACCGGAGAGGAGCCGGCCTTTGGGACTTTTCGCTTTCTTTTCCTCTGCACTCAGAAATCGAAGGCATCTGCTGGGTGCGGGCGATCTTCCGTGGATAACCTATAAAACCCTTACAGCACCCTTTTTAGAAACCATTCTTGATCCTTTTAGGGAACCCGAGGACCTAGGATCTGGCAATTCCCCCGTGTCCTGCTCCTCTCGCCCGCACCCCTCAGAAAAGTCCAAGAGTCCGTGGAGAGTTCCTCAAGACCGCACCGGACTTCAAGACAACGAGCCCAGGCAGATAGTTTAGGGGCCTTAAGTATTAAGAGCTAGTAGAGGCTCTTAGAGTACATTACAGTACCAAAACCCTAAACCCTAAACCCTAAACCCTAAACCCTAAACCTTTAGCCCTAAGGAAGAGTATTACCTTAAACGGGCTCGAACAGGCGGAGGTGGATATGTCAGCTCAAGCCTTCGACTCGTCGACTCGTAAAGCCACTCTTCTGCCCAATAGACAGCAACAGACTGCAGTCGCAGTGACAAAGCACATTACATGTGTTCAAGAGTACGGTTCAGGTTGGGGTTTAGGGTTTATACGAGGGATTCTCTAAGCTCTTAGCGGCTTGCCGCTCAGCTCGATGCTGTCTTCGTGCAAAAGGGCAGCCAGGACGCCAGTGGGCGCAGTCCGGAAGCAACGTGTGCATCCGAACTAGTAACTAGCAGTAGATGCAACAAAAAAACAACCAACTCACAGTGAGAGGATAATGTTCGGCCTTGTTGCTAGTTCGGCTCTCCTGACGTGTCTCTGGTGGACCCCTGGAACCTTCAGCCTCCTAAAATAGCAAAACTCACGAAAGTCAACTCGGTATCCGGCACCGTAATTTATCGGATCTTGAGGCTGAGGTGTCTGGGCCCACGCAGCTGCAAAAACAAACGAAGGCCGCAGCCGTCACGGCCTTCCTGGTGAGACAGTGCTACGCTCCTCATTGCGATCTCGGCAGTAACACAACCAAACGCACGAAGTCAACACTCCTGCACGCCTCATGGCCAAGGAGTGGCTCCGCAGCAGCTTTGCAAAGCGCCGCGTGATGCGGAAAATCGTCCTTCTCCCCTCCAACCAAGGAGAGAAACGATGGCATACGATGGCACTCTGCTCACGGAAGCTTCGAAGACGATGAGATACTTCGGTGGCTCGCTTGACACCTTCAAGATGTCAGGACCAGCCGGTCAAGAGGGAAAACGAGCTGCGCACAGAGGCGTGCTCGCCGTGTTGGCTATGCGAACCGCAAGCCGCTCCTTTTGGAGGGAGAGGATGAGATGCAAGTTCAATGCCTAATGCCTAGACAACCTTTCGGTTAGACAGAAGGAATAGTGAGTGCAACCTGCGAGCGGCTTGCTGGCCAAAGAGCCGGAAATGAGTTTAGAGAATCCATCGAAAGATTGGCACGCATAAAGCTCAAAGGCTCCACCTTGCTTGCGTGACTGTTTGGCACGGTTTAGGGTTTAGGGTTTAGGCTCTTCCAAAACTCCGAAATAGTTCCGGGCTGCTTTCTGCTCATTGAGCATACTGTGCGTCTGATGAGTACCACTTGCTACTAGCACAATCTCGAGCACTGGCTTGCAAGCCGGCTTCACTGCTCTGAGACAGCTTTAATGAGCTTCAGGGTCTTGGCAGAGAAGCGGGTCCACTGACAGAGGTGGCAGCGGGTGCACATGTCTCCATCCTTGCAACCTCGCGATTTCTGCGCATACTTGCAGGCGGGCCCACAACTGTGAGGATGCCCCAGTGAGCCGGGGTTCATCGCCGGCATCTCCACCGAAGCTGCGAAACCTTCCATGCCCACAGCGGAGTCCATGCCAAGGAGACCAGAGGCAGGATAGGATTCCTGCTGGGGCAGCGGCTGCAACATGCACACCTCGGAGAGAAGTCCTGCGAACTCGTCTGTCAGATCCTGGCTGGGGACGAAGACGGGCCCGGCTTGCGCGGCTTCCTCTCCCCGGGCCTGCCCCCACGTCTCGCTGTCCTTCGACCAGAAGCACTCGTGGCAGAGGTTGCAGTCGGCGCCGCGTCGGCAGCCGCCCTTGCGCTTCACATACCGACAGGCTGCTGCACAGGCAAAGGGGTGGCCCACCGATCCTTTCGAAAAGACGAGGTTGGCCCTGTCGAGGAGCGGGATGGGGCGGAAACGAGGATCCTTGGGCGGTCGCTGCACGGAATGCGGCTGGGGTGGAGGTAGCATCGGCCCGAGCTCGGGCACTGGCACCTTCACGATGTCACTGCCGAAGTTCATCCCAGGATCAATGCGAGCTTCCTCCATCTTCAGGAACATGTTCAAGGCGTAGGCCAGGACTCCATCCATCTCTCCACCTGCCCCACATTTCGGTGTGGCCAGCTCCTCCTGAAGTTCGGCCGTCACCGTCCTGTCCACTTTCAAACTCATGGCGGCCGGAGGCGAATTAAACTTCGACACCAGCTTGCCACAGTCGATGGTCATCGCCATTGCTGCTTCCCTGCACGCGTAAGGCAGGAGCTGCAAAAAATCCCTCGAGGCTTGAGACAGAAGCTTCTTCCGGAAGTACGTGCAGCTCCTTCCTGCAAAAACGCAACATCCAGCTCCCAGATTTCCCCTGCAACCTATACCCGAAGCCTGATTTGGGGTTTGGGCTTCAGTGGGCAGACATCCCGTGTTACCTGGTCGTCGCTGTTTGTCGGCGCGGAAGCGATGGTGTACCAGCGAGGCCTGGACGCAATCCGTACGCCGATAGGGTCCCCACATGCTGTCCTCTACTCTCCAAATCCCCACGAGTCCAGGAACATCCCTACCCTAGGACTGCCGATGCAACCGCTCAAACCCCACACACAAAACCACCCAAATGAGTAGAGACAGTAGAGCACCCCCCCCACCCTAAAAGCCTAGCCTAAAACCCTAAACCCTACCTAAACCCTAAACCCCTAACCCCCGAAACCCTAAACCCCCCCCCACCTATCCCCCCATCCCCGCCGCACCCCCCACGGGCCTCCGTGCGCCCGCGAAGCCTCCGCGAGGCGGCAGAACGCCGAGGGCGTCCCCGACACCGTGCGCCAAGGCGCCTCGGAGCTGCACCTCAAAGTACCTTTCAGGGTAGGATAGGGTTTAGGGTTTAGGGTTTAGGGTAGGATTATGAATTATGAAAGTGTTTGGTTTAGAGTTCAGGGTTGTGAAAGGTTTTGGTTTAGAGTTTAGGGTTAGAAGTTCAGGGTTAAAAGTTCAGGGTTCAAGTTTAGGGGTAAAGTTTAGGGTTAAAGTTTGGGGTCTGAAGTTTAGGGTTATAAAGCTTAGGGTTGATGGGTGTGCCCGGTTTTGGGACAAAGGCTTCAAGACTTCGGTCTGCGGAGTGTCGGGGTCCCGGGCCCACGAGCTCGGGAGGTTGAGGAGTTTACGGTTTGGGGTTTAGGGTTTAGGGTTTAGGGGTTTAGGGTTTTAGGGTTTTGGGGTTTTGGGGTTTAGGTTTTAGGGTTTAGGGTCTAGGGCCTCTAGGGTTTAGGGTGAATGGCTTTGGGTTGCAGTGTGTAGGGCAGAGGTAGCCCCCTTCAAAGCAATAGGGGCAGCAAAAGATGATTTGCTAAGAACAGATGGCCTGAATTGTCCAGGGATCTTCAGAATGATTTGAGGCATGTTGCTAAACTAAAGTAGTGAGTAGCTTTGGAGGTAGAGCTCCCCAGACAAAAGGCTTCATTTCCAGAATCTTGAATCAGTGAGTTAAAACGTTAAACCAAGAGTTGGAGAGGTAGAAAGTAGACTGCAGGTGCCCTGTGCGAAAGAAGTCTGAGAATGAGCCGATGGGCCCAAGCTTTCCAAGAACGCATGTTTGAAGTTACACCTCTTCCAAAAAATCACTTGTGAGTCTCCCAAAACCCTGAATAGATAAGGGACTCCCTAAACCCTAAACCCTTATCGAACATACTTTGGGATCCCTCTGGCAATCCCTGACCTTGCCACGGGATCCCTGGGCGCCAGCCGCGTGACGCGCACCACCGTCATCGGCACAATCCTGGGTTCTTTGTTCAGGGGTTAGGGCTTAGGGTTTAGAGTCTTGGGTTTAGGGTTCAGGCGTTGGGGTTTTGGGTTAGGGTGAAGGGTTCATTGGTTAGGGTTTAGGGGTTGGGGTTTAGGGTTTGGGGTTGGGGGTTGGGGTTCAGGGTTCAGGGTTTGTTCAGGAACTTAGTTTAAGCTCCCAGAACAAGGAACCCATATTTACTTACTCTAGATCCCTATCATGGTACCTCAACGCCCTAGAACCCCTCTAGATCCCGAATATGGTAACTTAAACTACATTTCTTAACAAGAGCCCAGAATCGAAGCGGACTCTGTGCCGCGGTGCACCCGTGGCGGGCCGCCCCTGGAATCGAGGCCCAGCCTCTCCAAACGGAAAGCTTGGATCATCTGGAGATTTCATGGGTTTAGGGTTTAGGGTTTAGGATCTTGGGTTTAGGATTTAGGGTTTAGGGTTTAGGGTTTAGGGTTTAGCGATGCCGACGGGGATCATGGGTGTGCTAAGCCGAAAACATGCGAACACCCTTCAAACAGGCTCCTCATTGCACCGCAAAGTAGCTTTTGGAGGGCCACCAGCAGCTCCTGCAGCCAGGCATCGAAGTCGGAGTCCAGGTGGCCCTTGGCCGCGTCCCCCTCGCCGAGCCGAATCAGGATCGGAGCCCCCAAGGACCGGATCAGCTCCTCTTTGAACTCCACTTGATGACGGGTCGCTCAGCTACCGGGCCCTACTAATTATTATTAAAGGAGCACTCTATGAGTCAAGGATCTTTACTTTGGGAGTCTTTGGAAAAGTTGGGAGTTTGTGACATCGTTCCTCGTTGCTGGTTCTTTGTGAACAGGAGTAGTTGAAGCTAAAGTGGCTGTGAATGGTAGAGGAGGAGGAACACCAACTGAAAATTTAGCAGAGACCACTGCCTAAACCCCCATACGTTATAGACCCCAAAACCCTACAACCCTGCACTCTCAATCAAAGACTCCTACGGCCCGCCGGCCCTACTGTAAGCACCCGGTCTTTCCTCGGCTTCCCGCGCGGCGGCGTTGAAGTCCGGCCAGAGGGAGCTCCCCAAGCCGAAGATCGCCACGGGCAGTGCCGGGAAGACCCCCTTTGCTTCTCCGCGCCGCTCCCGCAGGAAGCGGAAGAGGCCCTGGGCGTCCTTCCAGAGGTCTATGGGTTCAGGGTTTAGGGCGTAGGTCTATCTAAGTACGGTCATACACAGTGCTTAGATTGTACAGTATCGCCCTGTGGAAAAGGGGTGCTGGGTTCTCTGGGAAACTCTGCGATCCAGGGTTGGGGCGCTTGAGGTAGCACAGAACACCATAAGGTAACACATGTAACACCAGAGAGTAGCCAATGTTCCAATTTTCTAAGCTTCAACTACTACTCGACTCCTCAAGGCGTCGAGACTCACAAAAACCTGAAGGGCAATAGAACTTAGCTGGCCCCGGATAAGCGTTTTCCTCTGTTGCTGTGGTTGCTTCACGACAAAACCCCCCAAATCCTACTGAGAACACCGAAACTCCGCAACCCCAAACTCCAAACCCTAAAAACCCCCAAATCCTACGTACTGAGAACACCGAAACTCCAAACCCTAAACTCCAAACCCTAAACCCTGTTGGCTCCTCCGTGGGCTCCCCTTGGCCCCAGGTGGCGAGCACCAGTACCAGGGCCCGGCATCCACGCAGCCGCGCCTCGACCTGACGGGCGGCGCACTTCAGATTTTCTTTGAGCACCTTTTTCCGACCAGCAGGGTTTAGGGTTTAGGGTTTTGGGTTTAGGGTTTAGGGTTTAGTGTTTAGGGTTTAGGGTTTAGGGGCTTTTTGACATGATGTCTGAACCCTGACGGGTTTAGGGTTTAGGGTTTCCCAATCATGAAGGCAACTTCCTCAAATTGTCGGAAGTCTTCTGAGGATCTGACCCGAATCGGAGAATCCTTAATGTAGGGGCCTTAATAATTAGGGTTTTGGGGTATATTTTACTATGACTATAATTATATAACAAGGAGCCCCCAAAATAGTATTGGTAAATAAATTTAGGCCCCTACATGAACCCCGTTGAGTCTCTGGCATCGCACCCTCGCCTGATCCCACGGCGGTGGCGCCGACACCGCCGCTTCGGAGCCCAGCGCCTCCGCCGCCCGCAGCGCGAGATGCTCCGCGGTGCCCGTCTCGCTGCCGTACCACACCTGTACTGGTTCCCTGTTGGGGTTTAGGGTTTAGGGTTTAGGGTTTAGGGTTTAGGGTTTAGGGGGTTCCCTGTTGGGGATATATTAAAAATGTTCGTTTTTAATCCTTTTTGGGTTTTATTATAACAAAAATGTAAAATTGTAGCCAACAAGGACCCAGTGTAGGGTTTGCTGCTTCGGACTGATGAGGTGTAAGGCTTACCGGGGTTTAGGGAGTTTAGGGCTTATGCTACAGGGAGTTTATATAAGGGTGGAGGGCTTTTGAGCCCAAGAACTCTCATATCTCATCTTCCTTGCACTTGAAGTCCCCTGCCTAAGAGTACAGGCTGAAGGCTGAGAGTGTGCCTTACTTACTAAGGTACTTGGAGGCTCACAGTCCCAAGAGTTTCAGAGCTGAGTGTTCTGTCGTAGAACTGGTCAGTACCCTTACAGTGCTCCCCAACCTCCACCGGCGACCCCTCGACGGGCTCTGGAGCGACGGTGGCAGCGGAGGCCGCGCGGCTCCGGCGTACTGGGTCCAAGGGTTGCGCGGCCCCGGCGAACTGCTTGGTGAAGGCGTTCACCTCAGGTTGAGATTCTTGGGGGTTAGGGCGTTGGGATTTGGTAGTTTAGGGCTTGGGGTTTGGGGGGCTTGGGGTTTTGGGCTTTGGGTGTCGGGCTTCGACTTTTCTAGCAAGCAGCTTCTCCGTCGAGATATGGACAGCATACTCCCGACTATGAATTTCACACTGGAGGCTGAAGGAAATTGAAAACCAGCCTATGCCCTGTAGCCTCAAACAGTACCTACCCGTGCAGCCACAGAAGTACCCAGGGGCTCCGATGTAGTTCCTTTTTGGGTCTGTTGTGGTTTTTTGGTGGAATTGTAGTATACTATCCAGAAAGGAACCACATAGGAGCTTTTGGGTACGTCGCACCTCCACACCACAGACACCCGAACACGTCCGCAGCCGCCCCTCCCTCAGCGAGGGCTGCCGCATGGCGGCGGGCACCAGCTGCTGGAAGAGGCCCGCCCTGCAGCTCAGGCACACTTGGTACGGAGGCCCCTGCCAAGTTCCGATGTTATTAATTTTAAGACTACTAAGATTCCTAAAAATTTTACAGACTATCAGGATTATTCAGATTACTATTGAAAATATTAAGATGATAATTCCTAATTATTGCTGTTAATATTAAAACTACTAAGATTGTTAAAACTTCGATAGATTATCAGGATTCTTCAGATTGTGATTGAAGAGTACTCAGATGATGATGATTCTTCATTATTGTTGTTAAATTGCTATCATTATCACGCCCTTTCCATGCCTCCGGTCGACGGCAGCCCCGACGCCGCGTGGCAGGGCACTGAGGGCATGGAGGCCCTCCTGCGCGAAGTCTTCAATGTTTACGCCACACGCCTGATTTTCTACTTCTTCGGCAAATATTTCTGATCTGTGTATGCACCTGTGTGGAAGGCTGTCCAAAAGTTGGCTAGAATCAAACAAGTACGATATAACACCGTTTGGGGCTGTCTTTCAATATCTAAATACGAACCTTCTCTAAGTTGCTCTCTACACTTAGAGGATCAGGGGACTTAGTAAGTAGGTTTTTCAGTACCCTAAATAGGGTTATAAGCAGATATAATCATAGTTACCTGACTTATATCCCTACTTACTAAGTCCCATGATCCTCCAAGTACGCCCCTTCTTTCGCCGAGAGGGGGCGCCTGAGGGAAGGCCGCCTTCGCCAGGCGCACCACCTCCCGGCCGCTGTTTTGCAGGTCGGCGCGGTACATCTCCTCAGCTGCAGACTTCTTGGAGTTTAGTTAGTCAGGTGGGGGGATCCCAACTAAGATAACTAAGAGCCTTACAAGGAGGGAACTTTCGTTTTCCTGTCTATCTGTCTCCTATCTAAGCGTTATTTTGGAGGGTTTTGGATTCGGCGGCTGGTGCTGGATGCTCTTCGGTGGGTCGGCAAGAGTGAGGGACGACGGCAAGGTCTCCTACACCAATTTCACCAAAGATTCCCTCTAATATGGAGATATCATGGCATTTTGCAAAATCCGGTGCCCTGTGAACATGCAGACGCAGCAGCAGCCGCCAGCCAGCAGCACGGGAAGGCCAAGCCGTCCGCCGAGATGTACACCTGCTGAAAACCCTTAGCCCATCGCCTGAAACAGGCCACAGGCCTTGAATCGCTTTTGAAGACCCTGGGAACTCACGCGAGTCGAAGTATTGGGTTTGCAGAACCAGAACTCTGCAAGTCTCACCTCTATGCAAAATATTTTAGTTTGAAGTGCTCTCAAGGAAGCAGCACGACACAGTGAGACGGTTGTTATTGATATGGTTATGGTCATCGTGAATGTCCGGGTCATTGCCACCATGACACTTAGCATCACCGTCATCACCGCCTTCTTCTTACCACGCGGCGAAGAGAGTCCCTCGTCCAGCGAGTGCCATACAGTCCGCTGTTGGGACCGGCCAATCGAAATGGCAGGCTCGAGAGCCACGTATGTGGCGCCAGCTAACAAAAGTCGCGTCGAAACGCCTTGTAAACAAATTGACGATCAACTGTTATGTCAGAGATCGTGTAAAAACTGTCAGTCATCAAGTGTCTCTAAGGAAAGCATGACGATTCTGGCAGTCTTGAGAGGGCACTTGTTGTGCGCTTCCTTCCTAGTGAGCCGATCTTCCAGCAGCTGAACTCGATCCGAGAGCTTGGAATGAGCTTGCTGCAACTGCTCGAGCCACATCGACAGGCCCTGAATCTGCATCTGCAGCAAGCCGAGTCGACTGGAGAACCAATCGATGTCCGCCTCTCGTAGGCTCCGTGGCTCCTGCACTCTGGTCAGATCCATGGCTCTGCTGGGCTACTGGCGTACCGAGCGGAGCACTGAAGGCACTGCAGTGGACGAGAGCGAGAATGCACATGTTTGTAATGGCATGGTTAACCTGGGCATCTGTGAGTCGACGGGGGACCTTTTCATCATCTAAGAGCCATAGCTGGTCCCCTGGCATCTGTATGACAGCCGTGTAGTGGCCTGCAGTCGGCGCTGTACCATGATGCTGTATGAAACCGATGACTCCATACTGTTCCCACATGACTTCAAGGTTTTCAGCCGTAACGAAGATGGGGATGCTGAGAGTACTGGGTAGTATATAGGCTTGCTGAAGCTTAATAGGCCACCCCGGTGCATGATAATGAAAGAGTGGGAGCTGCAGGAAAAGCCACGGTGGCACACTGGTGTAGGCCTGGTGGCCGGCTTGTGCGTGCCAGGCTGAGACAAGATCTTGCACATCCGGTGAGTGCACGTCCGGGTCATTGACCAGGATCAAGCACTTGGTGGCTGGAGCCAGCTCAGTACACTGCATGCCCTCTGCGGTCAGGCTGCGTGCCTCACACTGGGCCGTGCTAATTGTTGAGACGATGCGACAACGCAGAAAGTCGATGAGTTCGGCTACGTCATGCTGTTGCTGAGGGGCTGGCCAACCCAGAAGTTTAAACCCCATCAGGCGAGAGGCCCAAAGCCGCTTCCCTGATTTTTCCCAAAAGACCTGAGGTAGTAGTTGTGGTTGCTTGCAAATGTCCAAGATGACAGCAAGTAGATATAGGAAGGAGTTAAGGTAGCAACTATTTAATCCACCCTGCAGTCTAATCCGGGATAGGGCTAAGGTCGGGACTTCACCGGTGGAGGCAGCAGTCGCGGTTGCTAAGGTTGCAGGCATGACAGCAAGTGGACCGGTCGTGCTCAGCGCTGAAAGGGCCGATTCCCCGGGTGGCTCGGATAGACCTGCTCCGCAAGCTTCTTGGCCAAGGGGGAGCGTGGCATTGTGTCCCGCTTCATCGAGACTCCGATGAGATTCATCAGAGCACTGCCTGTGAACCGATCCAGTGCGTCGTACACTTCTTGCGCCTGGGAACCGCGCAAAGGGATTTCCAGATGGAAGGTGGCGACCTGGGCTCCCCGCTGCTCGAGGAAGGTGAGGGTCTTGGATGCCGCGAAGCTTTGCACGATGTCGCCGGTCATGCACTTCAAAAAAAAGTTGAGAAGGCGTATCGCCTCTGCATGCTGCAGCGGCGTGCGCTTCTTGTCCACTTCCAGTCGGCGTTCGGCTGGATTCCAGCACCGGTAGCTCCAGTTCCCCTCCGAGTTGAGCCACTCCAGAGCTACATGCTTGTTGCGAGCTTCCTCCGTGCGCTTGCTGGGCTAGATTCATGAGCTCTCTGACCATGCAGGCGATGAGGACCGTGCGCAGTGGAGATTTCAGCTGCTCCGGCTCCAAGGATTTCTTGGCCTTCCAGTCGCGAGATATGCGCATGAGTGTGTCCAGCGTGCCGTTGGCATCGTTGCGCAGGAACAACACGAAGTTCTTGTCGTTGCGCAGTCGGCTGATGATGTCTTCCTGCTGCAGGACGACGCGGCCGAGCAGATTGATGTGGTTCTGGAGGTGGTGCATCGGCCTCGGTGGCGGCGGGCCACCGCGGTGAGGCGGCTGGTTGAGGTGCTGCGGGGTCGGCATGTTCCAGCGGTGCTGCTCCGGACGCTGGCGCTTCTGAGAGCGACCGTCCTCGAGGTAGGGCTCCTGTCCGGTCCACAAATTGGCAAAGATCTCCGCTTCCTCGTGGGCGAAAGCCTCCATCGTCATTGGGTCCCCGTACATCTTGACAATGAAGTACAGCTAGGATGAGCTGCACAAGTGGTGTGCACTGCTGCGTATGGCGTTTTGGGGCACCAACGCGATGGCTGCACCAGATGCACGAGCTGTCTCGTCGTAGGTGGCTTTTGAAGGAAGTGCAAAGGTCTAAGGTGCGGGAGAGGAGGGTAGGGTTGTCGGGGCTATGTATGCGTAGTGCTGTTTCATGTGACGATAGTCTGCTACCCACATGTGACAAATCGCGCAGTGGTTCTCGAGCTCCTGTCGCAGTTCAGGCACCGACAGCCACTTCTCCCAGTTATGCAAGCTGGTAACAAAGGCTTGACGCTTAACCAGGGGCAGGTGCATTACGTTTTCCTTCGCGAAGACTGGGAGTGCTGCAGTTGGAGGAGCCTGAATCGGCGCGTTCACGTGTGCCTCTGAAAGTGGCGCACGGATCAGGCTGTCTCCTCCCAGTGCAGCACAAGCACCGGTTTCGATGTGAAGCTAAGGTGGGTCCACCTGAAGAACTGTCGATTGCAGAGGCGGCAGGCTGGCATGCCTGCTTGGGAGTGAAGCTCGGGTATGAACTCGGTGGGGTGGTGATTGAGTCGGGGAGGGAGTCGGTCATGTTTCAGCTTACAGTGTATGCGAACCGCATTCTCAGAGATGAATTGCTCAGAGCAATGTGGACAGCTGACTGCCGGTGTGACCACTGCCTTCGTGGCGAGAGTCTGGGCTGCTTCAAGCAGCAAAGCCTCAAGACGGCCGGCAAGGAGGTCAAGGTGTGCAAGTGCTTGGGGACTGCTGCTAATGTCCGATTCGGTAATCGCTCGCTGCTGCAGTCGAGACTGATGCTGCACCAATGCACATTGGATGGTCCAGCCTGGCTGTGCTAGCCCGGCTTGTTGCCACACAGACTGGTTGGTGACATGCGTCAGATGAGCAGGCGCCCTGAGGATGGCACGCAGGTGCTTAGTGAGCACCGTGGTAAGGCGTTTCAGGGTTTTTGCAGTGACACCTACAACATGCTGAGAGTACATGACGCTCGAGCAGACGCAGGCCTTCCAGAGGCGTATATGCGATGTGTAGTCTCAAGTGTGTGATCCCTATTCAACAGTTTGCGGAGGCCTTGATAGTTGACACGGGCTGCTTTGATGCGATGTTCCATGTTGCGCTCGAACCGACTATGGTAGGTGACAACTGTGCCAAGGTAGACATGTTGGTCCCTCATGGGAATGGCTTGTTCACGACCATGAATGCAGAGCCGCAGGTAGAGCTGTCCCGCCTTCATGAAGGTGTGGTCGCGGCGAAGTTTCCTGGACTCCTTGCCGACCAGGTGAAGGAGGATGGCGGTCTTATCGAAATTGACGGTCATGTGAAGGGATTCAAGTGTCTCAAGGATGAGTGTGATATCTGAGAGGGCTGTCTGAAAGTCAAGCTTTGCGGATACAACCCAGGCTCCCCAAGCATCGTCAGCGAAAAGCGACAATACTCGCTGAACCCACTCGAGATCCCTTTGGTCGCGCAGAAGAAGAAAGGCAAGGGAGAAGAAATTCCAAAGGTAAGGTGCTATGACGCAACCCTGCTTTATGCCATTGGTAGTAAGGGTAGGGCCCTGACTATCACCGACCCTAAAGATGTACCTGGCATTGTGATGCAGCTGTTGGACAATGGTAATGATGGATGGATCAACTCCTTGCTGTTGCATTTCTTGATATATGTGGGAACGATTGACACCATCGAAGGCCTCGGACAGATCCAAGGAGAGGCTGACGCCTCCAGTGCAGCCACGCGGTTTGTGGCCGGCCTGCTGCTGGAAGCGATTGGCTCGTGTTTTACTGATGAGCTCAGTGACAGCTTCGAAGTGACTGTGGGCTTTGGCTATAGCATCGGCAGTGCCCCTAGGACCTACCTGTATAGGCGAACTGTGGCATGCAGGCAAGCCAAGGGGTGAGTGCGCTGAGAGACTACCAGCTAGGGCCTTACTGGCTGGGCTCGACAACCCAATGGGCCTCAAGGATGAGATACCCTGTGGGGGCTTATTGGGCTTGGGGATCCAAACTACACTGCAGTCCTGCCAGTCTCCGTCCAAGGGGGCAGTGGTGCCCCGACGAAGATGTGCATTCAAGGCTTGGCTCAGTACCTCACCCAATTCTGAGGAGCAAAGCTTCCAGGCTGCAGATGGGGCGATGTGCTTGGGAACAGCCTTGGCCACACCAAGCTTCGAGAGCTCAGTAGCCAGGTCAGCTGCTGGGATATTGACATCCTGAGCAAGGGGAAGGATCGGGTGATCATCAAAGTGTCGAGCGAAGGTGGCATTGCCGTATCTAACGATGGCCTCGAGCTCCTCATCTCGGGTGAGGAGACGACCAGAGTCGTCACGGAGTCTGCCTGCCAATTGGCGAGTGCGCGGAGACAGCCTACGAACTATGAGGTGCAATCCTCTCTGATCACCCCGGCCCGCTGCCATTTCAGCAGCTTCCACCTGGTCAAGGAAGAACTGTCGCTTGAGCTGCCGACTGCTTCGTCGCAGTGCCTTTGAGGCTCTGGCAAACTGAGTGGCCAGACGCCACTTGGCAAAGATGTTGCGAAAGGTGCACACACCTGAGTGTTTGAGGTCACGGTAGAGACCCCACACAGCACGGGCAGTAGTGCGAAATGCAGGCTGAGCGCTGATGCGATTGTCCGGCGCCGCTTTGGCAGGAAATAGAGCACAGGTCTCCTCTAGGAGGATACGGTTGACATGCTGATGTGCAGTGGAGAGCACAGACGCATCGACGTCCTGCAGTCGAAGGCCGACGCGGTGCTGCAGCTCCTGAGCCAGCGGGGCTCGGGAGCGTACTGCCGTGCACAGGGCTTCAACATCATAGGCTGGTGATTGTGCTTGGCGAGCACGTCGCCGTGAGAAGGGGCGCATTGGGTAACTGACTCTTACCGGGTAATGACCGCTAAGCCTATCACCTCCTACCGGGTAGGAGTGGTCGGGGTAGGCGGCGCGGGCAAGATGTCCCGTGGTGGCACTGCGTGCAAGCACGTAATCGATCTGGGTTTTGCCAGTGGAGGAATGATAAGTGCAGTTCGGTTTGCAATGCCAAGTGTTCAGAGCGCAAAGCGAGTGTTTGTACAAGAGGGCCTGCAGCCCATCTTCCGTATGAGAGGAGCTTCTGGGAACAGCACTGCCTACAAGGGGTGGCTCCGGAGCCAGCGTTGAGTTGAAGTCTCCACAAATCAACAGGGCGTGCCGGCTTGGCACACGAAGAATGGTGGCTTCAAGCTGGGCCCACATGCTTTGACGAAGTTCTCGATTGCGGGAAGATGTGAGATGCGTGCGCCAGACATGCTGGTAAAGACCAATGATGCTAACAGGGAGTTGGGTGTCCCTATGGGTGGCCTGAACCAGAGCCAGTCGACCCGGACTTATTTCTAAGAAGAGGGGGTCCTGAAAGGTCTTGCGCCTCAAGAGGAACAAGATGCCCGTGTTCCTGCCAAAGCCGTCTGGGTCTTGTCGACCAGATGTGTGCAGAGCAAGCCATGGTCCAGCGTAGTAGTCAGGAGTTTCGTGCCAGTGCGATTCCTGTATTACCACTACGTCTAGGTCGGTGCATGTTTCACTCCATGCAAGGAATTCCTAGAAAACGGAACTAGATAACCCCCCTGCGTTCCACGAAAGAAGCCGAAGGTGCCTGTCGGTCGTTGAGCGATGCACCACTCGTTTGGCAACTGACCTGGGAATGTCGGGAAGGGGCTTCGGGAGTTGTCCAAGCGTGGCTGCAGAATGCCATCTGCCTTTGTACCAAGTCCCTTTAAGAGGTGAGGCATGTGCACGATTGCGGGCTCTACGGAAAGATCGTTTGGTAGATCTGGGGAGGCTTATACTAGGGATCTGGGGAGCTGGCGCCAGGGGTGGCACTAAGTCGCGAAGCTTCCCCGCCACCACAGTGACGGGTTCACCTCCTGCCGCGAAGCCAGGAGGAACCCTCACCCCACCTGCCTGGTGAAAAAGACTGTACACGATGAGTACTGTAAGGCAGGCACCGGACTTGGGACCGGAGTGGCACACAGTGAGCTGATGATGAGCGGCGGTTGGGTTGACTACTGGGGGTGGCAACCTATGCTCTATGCCGTGTCGCAAGATGGAGGTGGTTCGAGCTCCTGCGTTTGGTGGCTCGGCGGAACCACTCTGCACTTTGCTGAGAATCCTGCGAGGTGGCTTGGCTTGAGGTTGGGGTCTGCAGAACTTAGGGCCTAAGGGATGCAGAGATCTATGGTGCTGAGGTTGTTTGACACGGTGATTCCTGTGACGAGTCAGCATCAGCGGGCCGAGGCAGCGGATCAGGAAGTCAATCGTCAGCTGCGGGGGCTCCGTCGTCATCACGACCACCTCGCCGAGGGCGGCGTTGGTGAGTGTGAGCGAATTCCCAGTCAGTCCACTGCTGCAGCCGTTCGCCGGTGAGATAGGTACGGGCCGCTCTTTGTAGTCTCCACCAGTCTTGGTTGGCCAACCGACGTCGCATGGCTCCAACCCGACCGCCCTGAGAGCGGCTGGTAATGCCCGGCACCGTGGCGGCGCGCTCCATGCGGTATTGACCCAAGAAGTAGCCGAGTGCTTCTCGAAGTGCTGGGCCTGCCAGGCATACACTGTTCGCGCTCCATGTAGAGGAGTTTCGAGAGGTGCTGCCGTCCGAGGCATCGTCATCAGCAGATTCGCTGGTGGTCTCAGCAAAGCGTCCATTGGGCAAGTGGGGCCCCTCGATTCTGACATGGCATTGTCGGCCATTCTCATCAGTTTCGAGAGCCACCGGCCACCGTCTCTCCGGTTCGTCGTCGTCATCTTCATCGGCATCTGGCTGAGGTTGTTGAGCAGCTTGAGGGTCTCGCCTTGAGCTGGGGCCTCCAACTGGTTGTGGCGGAGGAGGTCCCTTAGGCAGCAAGCTGTCAGCGCTTGGAGGGCCAGTGCCATGATCGTGAGGAGTGCGATCGATCCGCGGCTTCGGCTGCATCCATTGCAGCTTGGTAGTCCATGGCATCATCGTCCATAAAACTTCACCGAAGCGACACCCAACCAAAAGAAGAAAGCCCCGAAAAGCGAGGATCCCGGGCGCTCACCTGCGAGCCAAGGGGCTTCGTCATCACCGCCACCATCATCATCAGCAGCATCAGCATCAGCATCAGCATCATCGTGACCACTTCGACCAACATAATCAAGAAGCTAGAAGAAAAGAAACATTCTCGCGCCTCCTTCTCCTTGGCCACTTTGCAGGAAATCTCGCAGCTGTCGTAGTAAGCCTCGATGCTCCCATACTTCTCCACCGCCTGCCACAAACAAGCAGAATCCGATCTTTTGGGTTTAATGTAACTCGAAAATAATAGGATCGGGGCAAAGGGCTTGTGGGTCGCGTTCTCCCACTCTTCGGATGGAGCATACTTCCGAAGCACAACCTATCAAAGAATTCTCCTTCACCATGGCACTCAGCATTCCGACAACCCTCCCGAAGCACAGGGCAAGCTGCCTTCTGCACGCTCTCCAATGCAGCCTGCAGGGTGTCTTGCTGCTGAGCCTTTTCCATCGGTGTCGCAGGGCTGATTTAGGGTACCTTCGAGTATCAGTTCTGTTCAGCAATGAAATCCATCGCTTCCCAGCTCTTCCTCACCCTAACTCAACCCGATCAAAGACACCCCGAACTTGCTCCCCGCATTCAACTTCAGCCACCCTCTGCACCTCAAAACCCCAAATCCAACCCCTTGAAACCTTGACAGGACTCTGCAAAGTCTCGCTGAAATCCACCTCGTTCTGCCAGGCCGGGTTCGCCGGCGGCCGCAGTGTCCGCACCACTGAGCCCGACGTGTCTTTCACGGGCACGGACGGCTTCACAGCTCCACGGCCCTGCAGGACAGTGGTGGTTAAGGATGGGGGTTCGTGGTGCCAGGGTCTTTGGTGCATGCAGCTTCGCAAAGTTGGGGTTTGGACAGGGTCCCAGGGTGCCAGCTCCAGATGATGTTGCCGAGTGCCGGAAAGGACCTTCGGGAAACTCTTGCTTGTTGCCAGTGCCTTGTCAATAAATCGGGCCGTCTTCTTGGCGTTGAACTTGGTGAAGCCCTTCTGCTCCGCCAAAGAGCGCATGGCCTCAACCTGAGATTTCTCACAAGGCTGCAAGGCACTATGAGAAAATCTACTAGCTGCGATCTCGCCATAACTGAACCTTAAACCGAGGCTCCCTGCAAGGCATCCAGAAAAATGGTGTAATGGAGCAGGTAACGGTAAAGGCTTCGCCAGGCGAAATTAGGAGAAGCCCTCTAAAGACCTGAAGCAAACCGCCTGCTGCTCGTTGTGCTCGAAGACGATGAAGTCCCACTCCGCGTTGCCCCCGGCCGCCAAAAAAGCGTCGACGTTGGCCATCAGGCGCTCCCACCTCAGGTCGGGCCGGTGAGCATGCCAGCTTCGTCGTGTCAGACGAGAACATGAAGCTGTATGCTTGCATGCAAGCATGCATGGATGGCACTGTATGTATGTGTATGTCTGTATATGTGCATGTACGCATGCTTGCATCATGTGTATATGTGCATGTATGCATGCTTGCATCATGTATTTTGGATGTAAGTCTGCATGTATGTGCTGCACGACAACAGACATGCTTTGTGTGCGGCCCTTGGCTGTTACTTTCTATGCTTCATCATCTCGCTATGTTTGCATGTCCTCCCACCTCACGTGCTGGCGGTAGAGGTGGTTCGTCGCCTCATCCCCGTCAATGGCAAAGCGCACGAAAGCCCTGTCGGGCGGCTGCATGATGCTCCCAAGCTCCTCCGGTTCAGGCTCATGGCTCTTCAGGGCTATATCGTTGAAGCTTGTCGCTGGGATCTGGGATGGGGTCTGGGGGGGTCATGCGCAGCTCCTCCCACCAGACCGGAGAACGCATGCCTCCATTCCTTGCACAGACTTGCATAACAGAGAGAAAGAAGGCCGTCGAAAGCTCCACGCAGTCTTGCAAACAGTTTGGGCATGCGTCTATGGCGCCGTCTAAGTCTAGTTGGTGTAGTTTTTTAACGCAGCAAAGCTACGTGAAGAGCCCGACACGCGGGCCGCCTACGCTGAGCAGGTAGCGGATCACCTCTGCACAGTCCTGGCCAAAACGAGCACTGAAGCATGTCTTGAAGATACAAAAGCCACCGCAAATCATGTTGTAGGGGACTGAAACTTAGCCAAAACACGCACATCCCCCAAAAAACAACCAATCAGGAATGAACTCGAGAGAGCCAGAAACAACGTCCCGAAACGTCGAAACTCGATGCCCCTGCACCAGCCAAAGGTCCACACCTCACACCAGCCCGAACGCAAAACACTAGAACAAACCCGGTAAACAGAGGTCCTGGGCCACCGCTGGGTCACCGAAGTTGCCACAGAGATACACCTGGGGCAGGGCTCCTTCCACTCCCCCGATGAAAGATGGAACTTCCCCTCCTGACCAAACGGGTGAAGTCCACAACGAGATGGGAGGTGCCAACAGACAGTAGGGACAGTTTAAGGTTCGCTGAGGGCATCCAACTCAACAGACGCTTTCCCGCAAGCCCAACCTTCCGCAGCTGCCGGAGGAAGCCTCCAAATGTTTGGGGCTTCAGGGGTGTCGGGGTTTAGGATTTAAGGTTTAGGGATTGGTGTTGCAGATTTTAGGAATGTTTAGGGCTTCAGGGGTGTCGGGGTTTAGGATTTAGGGTTTAGGGATTGGTGTTGCAGGTTTTAGGCATGAGAATCGGGCGTCTCGGGTGTAGCGCTTTTCAGGCTCAAGCAGCATGTGCAGATATTGCAAACTACGGCTACCTTCATCCGCATCAAAACGCGACCCTAAGAGAATGTTATCTTCGAGAAGCCGTTTCGGCCACATGGCCTGGGGGTAAGATGGCCCGGACGTCCTCGAGGGAAAGCTCCGAATGGTGTGCGGCTAGCACCTGAACGAGCAGGGGGTACAGCTCTGTTCTTGAACTTACCTGCCAAGTTCATTAGCCAAAAATCTAATTTTACAGTGTTGAAAAGACTACAAGATTCAAAAATTATAATCCGAACTACGTCAGAAAAGCTTCTTGGGATTTGGGTTCCCGCACGTTTAGCGTGAGGGGGTTTTAAAGCTCTTGAAAACGTTACGGCATAGGGTTCGCACAGACTCTGCAGGGTCTGGCGTCGCTGAACAAAACTCAAAAACAGACAGGCCAAACGAGCCAAGCTACGAAGGCAATAGCAAAAGCCGCAGGGAGCCAACCCTAAAAACCCACTCCACCTGAAAACCCCACCTTAAAAGCCTGCAGCCCGGGCGCTGGGTTCTCCGCTCCCCCCTGGAGGTTCCGCGGGCACTGCGGGCACGCGGCGTTGCAGCGTGTGGTGAGCTCCAGGTGCACGGCCTTCAGCTCCTGGAAGACTCGGTCTGCGGCGGATTCAAGCTGGAGTTGCTAAGATCCTAGGGCTCCTCAGAGGGACTTATAGGTTTCTTATAAGGGTACTGTAAGGGTTATGTGAGGGTAGTTCTCTGAATAAGGGTCCCTTTTTCCGAACCCGAAAGAAGGCGGCTCCCTGATAGAAAGGACCGTAAAAGGGATCCTAGGTTAGCGAACCACCCATGTGGTGTGATAGGTCTTACAAGGGGGTTAGGGCTGCAAGCTTGTGCGGTGCTTCATACTGGCTTGGGGGTTTAGCGGAGTTTGGGGTTTGAAGGGTTCAGGTTCAGCATCTTGGGTATGAGGGACGTGGGATTTGAAGTTGGGAAACATATGCGTTGTTTATTCAGTGACATCGCAGGGCTCTTGCTGAATTCTGAGCGTTTCTAAAAGATCTAAAAGTAAGGCACACCTTACACATGCTCTAAACACCACCAGACCTGCAGCTCCTCAGCCAGGAAACCCAATCACCCCGTGTTTCACAAGGTTCAGAATGACGTTCATAGAGTCTTTGGATATTTGTGAGCTTAAGGATTTTGGGGCCTACTCGTGGGGATCACGCTTATATGTGGGCTCTCGCTTTTGATCAAGCTGTCGGTTCGCCACGGTGTCTAAGCCTTCAATACTGGCGATCCAAGCCCCTACACCAGTCAAACAAATCGCAGAAAACCTACGATTGGGCCAAGCCCTCAACCCTCAACCCGAGCTTCAAAAGCATGACGCATTGATCTTCAGGTCCTAGATAGAGACCTCAGAGCTTAGACTCCCAGACTGCATCCGAAGCGCGCCGGAGCGATAGAGGGGGCGCACCCGCTCTTTTCGAAGTCTCTTCACCCAGAACGCGTCGGCGGTCTTCGCCTGTGCAGCTCTCCCGGCATACGACAGGCAGAATGTCGCGTGTTGGTGTGTGGTGCAGACGAAAAGTGGCTGACACAAAGATGGCCCGGTCCACATGCATGGAAGGTTGGCGCATGCAACTGAACATACAAGAAAACTGAACAAACATCAGCAACAAAATGCAGCAAGCACAAAAAACCAAAGCCTTGGCCTCCCAAAAGAGGGCTAAAAGAAGGTCTACTTTTTCAACGGCGGCCAACAGCGTCCCGCCTCCACGCCGCCCTTCGGCACAGCAGGGCCAACAGAGGGCGAGCTCGTGGTCGGCTTTGAGCCGAAGAGGAGGTCCAAATCTTCCTTAGGCTCTTGCCTGCTTTTGGCTCTTAGGCTTTTAGGGTCTACATGGGGTTACATTTTCGACTATTTTTATTAAGAATACCCTACATAAGAGCGTCGCACTTATCACTGTAGTTACAACCGACTTGTTGCAGCCTCTGATCCTTTAAACATACCGCACAAGACCCCTTATCAAACTCTCCATGCTAGAACATAATACCCTGTGATGTCCTGCAAAAGCCCCAAGCTGCCCAAATCTTACTGTCACTCCTGTCAAAGCCGCGATGTCTTGAAATCTGTGCCCATCGGCGCTCTGATGCTGCGAGGCGCAGGAGCCCATTAGCCCAGGCTGACACTCAAAGGCCACCGCGGAGTGCGAGGGGGTTAGGGTGTACGGTTTAGGTTGTTAAGATTCTGGTCTAAGGATTGGGCATCATTAGAGGGATGTGTGGGTTCTAGTCTTTGTGCATTCTGGTTTTTTTCAGGATGTAGTCAGGTAGAAGGATACCTGACAAAGTCAAACCGTATAGGCGGTGTTTGATTCAGCGTGGTGTAGGGCTGCGAGCAAAAGCTTGGTGATAGAAGTCTAATTTCCAGGCCTGAGTCTGAGTCTAGGCGGCTGCTCCGCAAAGGTTCAAAGCATGGATCCCCAGAGTTTCCAAGGCCCACCTCCTCAAACTACGAGACGGTACCCCAAATCGCAGGATTTGCCAGGGCTCCCGAAAACAATATGGCAGTCTCTGGAACAGGGCCCTGTTTACAATTAGCCGAGACTGTGGCCGAAGCGAGCACTAGCTGTGATTTGCGGATATGCGAAAACCCAAGCTGCAAAGCAGAAAACCTCAAACCCTTGAGTCTCCAAAGCCTAAACAGCCTAGCCCAACTCGTTATGTAAATGTACAACACCGACTCACCACCGCCCTTAGCGCCCGGACGGCGTGCTCGGCAGTGATGGGGAAGCCGCTTTGGCCGCCGCCATGGTGGAGCGGAAGCAGGACTTGAGGGTTTGGAGGCATTGGGCTGCATGGCATAGGGCGTAAACGACGGTGGGCTCAGAGGAGTGAGGGTTTGTGGCTATGGAGGTGAATCGGGCGAAGGGGTCGTAAAGCTTGTGGGCTCAGGGCTGGAAGACTGCTGCGTTGAAGGTTTCTTCAGACGAGTTGGCTTTCGGCTGGTCATGTTGCCTTCTCGTGTTGAGGTGGGCTTCAAAGCTAGGCTGCGGTCACAAGTTCAACCTCAGACTGAAGGTCAGGCCGCGCCTAGGGGCGGGGCGAGACTCTACACCTTTGCCGGGATTGTAGGATTACACGTTTCGGCATGCTGCACCCCCCTCGAAAATCAAGACTGGAAGCAAGGCGTGCCAGCAGGTCGTGACACCTGAAACTTGCTTCCCGAACACAACGTCGCAAAAATCTCAATGGAAATCAAGCCCGAAGCTAGCAAAACAAGCTGGAGCCTTCACTGTGCACTCCAGGAGAAGCACGTTGGAAAGATCGACGGGCTCGCACATAAACGGCGTGAGCGCATTCCACTTACTCAGAAAAGTGAGTTGGACAGTCAGACAAAACACGATTTTGACTCTGGCTGCATGCAGGAATCTGCTGCTAAAGCCGTCCAAAGGCAAAGTCATGGCACTTGCAAGCTTGGAAAGCTGATCTTCAGATTTCAGAACGTCCAGCCGATGCTGAAGCCGAGAGCAGCTGTAGCTCCACAAGCGAGGTGATTTTGCCAGCAGCTTTGCGGCTTCCGCTCCAGGATAATATTGCAGTAAAAGGCTGTGCTTCACTCTGAGGGTTATTCAGAATACTATAGCCAAACACTGGGGGATGTGTGACCACCACCTTGGCGACCTCTGACTGGCTCAGACCCAGGCCCTTGATCCAGTCTACTGTAGGCTTCAGGTTGTCTGCAATACTGCAGCCGAGCACATTAGGAAATCTCACGACCACCTTGGCGACCTCCGACTGGCTTAAGCCCAAACCCTTCATCCACTCCACTGTCGGCTGCAAATTGGCCTCAATGCTGTAGCTAAGCACTTGGGGATGTGACACAATCACCTTCGCGATCTGCGTCTGGTTTAGGCCCAAACCCTTGATCCAGTCCAC